AAAGAGAGAAAGAAAGAAAGAAAGAGAGAGATATATCACCACACCTGGGGTCCAGCAACGTCTCGCAGGTCCATTCTGGTCTTTGGCTCTTTGGTGGTGGGTGCACACCAGTGTCTTAATTACGGGTATTTTTATTGTCCCTTTGCATCAATATTCATGACTCCTTGTTCACATGATCTTCTCCTCTTCTTGCTTTCCATGCTAATTAGGATGGGGGGCTCCAAGGGGGTTTTGTCCACCATAGATAACGGAGTGTCCACCGGTAGATGAGGCAGTGGGCCTCCCTATGTCTGGAAACACTCCTCTTCTGCAGGGATAGGGGAGGTTGGGTAGCCGCTCCAACTGAAACCCCCTTATCGATCATCCCCACTAGAGTTTCTGAAGGGGAAACACCCCTCCACCGTCTTCTCAGAGCAGGCTGGGTTTTCTTTGCAAAGCAGGCTGTTCTTGGGGCTAATACATACAACTTGCACTGTAAAACAAAATATGTGTCTTTTGTTCAAGACACATGCATAAAATCTGCAAAACAGGTTGTTTAAGGCAATAAATCAGACTGTCCTTCACACTGGCACTAACAGGAGACCAAGTTAATGAAGGAGTAGAAATGCTGTGGCTTGTACGACTCCAGGTGTGAGAGGGCAAAACTCCACCAAAAGGGGCGGATGCCCAGCGCTCAGAAAAAGCTCCTGTGCTAGAGGAGATGGCGAGAAAACCCCAAGGTACAAAGAAGGGATCCCAGAGGAGAACAGAGAAGCATCCCAGGGGTGCAAAGAAGGGGGCAGTCAATGCCTTGCAGATGGGAGATAAAGCTGAATATCCTTGCATAGCACGTTCTCCCGGCTAAAGTGGGAGAGTGTTCCCTTTCCTTTTTTTTTTTTTTTTTAATCCCCTGTCTTTTGATCTCCCTTTGCTTTTATGTTCCCCCAAAGAATAGTTGACATCAGTGTTGATTCACATCATCAGCTTTGGAGCCCACTAATAAAGTGCTGTGCATACAAGCCTGTTTCAAAACCTTTTGTGCAACACCTGACTTGGATGCTGCCACAGATCTTTCTGCTCTAGATCTGAGCTCCAGACCTGCTCCACAGTTGGAAGTGAGTCAGGGATATGAACAAGTCCTAGATGCCCCAATATGGCCAAATGATTCTCAGCTCATGCTCTCCTAATGAGGGGGCTCATCCCCAAAGAAGTGCTTGAGATGACTGTCAGGTAGACCCTGAGTATTCTGGGCTGGAAAGGACCTCTGGAGGTCATCTAGTCTGAACCTCTGCTCAAAGGAGGTACAACTAGGTGAGAGTACTCTGTGTTTTCTCCAGTTGAGTTCTGAGTATCTCTAAAGATGAAGATCCCACAATTCCTCAAACCTTCTTGGTGACCACCTAGATGTGCTGCAGTATGCCAGTGTCTGTTCCATGCTAGGTAGCCCCAAATTCTTTTTCACTCCTACTGCTTTGGGTTTCTTCCTTCCTGCTTAAACTAGAGAAGCTGGCAGGCACAGCAGCCACGTGTGTGCTGGGGAAGGAAGGGTGCAGTATCTCTACCCACCAGCTCCCTGGAGACGGTCTCCATAAAGCACCTGCTGGCAGTGGTGTCATCCAGAGTATCAGACGTGACCTCTGGGCTCCATCTCTTTCATGTGTTTTGACAACTGCCACAGGGGAGGGAGTGGAGGAATCATGAGGGCTGTACACAAAAAGGTGAGTTCTGCTGGGGAGCCTCCTCCAATCAACCCTGGTTGTGAAGGATGAAACACATGTTTTGGGGGATAGTGGATCTTCACATGCCTTGGCTCAGGGCACAGAGCTGCTGCCCATTTTGAGCTGGGTACCTTCTGGAAGTATTGCCAGGCTTCCTTCCAGGCCAGGACCAAACATGGACCCAGCATGGTAAAACTCTTCCCAGTTCTGATCTCTACCCCTCATTCTTTGACCCATCCTCTTTGTTGCCATGAACATGACTCTGGATCCAGATACAGCTCAGCCCCAGCTCATCTTGTCAGAAGATCAGAGGAGTGTGATGCAGGGAGCCACTAGCAGAGCCAGAGGGATTTGACCCGTGTGCTGGGCTGCGAGGGATTCGACTCAGGGCAACCATGCTGGGAGGTGGAGGTGGGCTATGGGTTGTGCTGGGCTGTGCGGGTGGCCCTGGAGTCTGTGAAGAGGAAGGGACGGATGGACGTGACCCTGGTGGCGGGGCATCTGGGTGGTGGGGGTGGTATAAGGAGAAGTTCCAGGCTCTCACATTCCCCACGTCCCACACCTGTCCTTCCCAGCATGGTCCCCCAGAGGGTGTGGGTCTGTCTGGACCATGCTGGGGGGTGGGTAATGTTTGTCAATATGGACAGCGAGGCTGTGATTCTCACTCTCTTGCGAGCCACGTTTGCAGAGAAGCAAATCCACCCCTGACTCAGGGTGGGTGAGGGGTCCCAGCTCAAATGGTGTCCTGAGACCTGGGGAGGTCTGTCCCTCCAAGGTGGCTCTGCTGTGGCCACCCTGCCCTCCTGCATCCCCATCTGGCTAGTCCTTTGGGACTCCCATCCGCTTACAAGTCTTCTGCCACCTCCATCTCCAAACCTGCCGTGAGCCTCAACAGCTGTGAGGCTCCTGTCTACCTGCCCGTGGAGCGCAGGAATCGCCTCGCTGGGAGCAGAGATCCATGGGTTTCCCCAGTCTTGGTTCTACCACAGTGGAAGAGGCTTAGAGCAGGTCTCTGGATGAAGAGTGGCAATTTCTGGGGACATACTTTTATTACAGAAGCCATGAGGGGGATTGAGGGGCACAGCAGTGCCTGGTGATAGCATAGTTTTACTTGAGGAAATAGGCAGATGGGCAAGGAGGATGAGACCTTGCTCAGCAGCCCAGCTGGCCATGGGTGATGCTCTGTAGCCCTGAAGCCTGGGCAGCCTCCACGTATTGGTGTGCCTGTGATTGGCCTGATTCTTGTGCTAGCTTGAGAAAACACAAGTAAAAAAACCATCTCTTTGGGAGGTTCTAGTAAGACTTAGATTTCCAAATAATTGTGTGTGTGGAATTATAATCAGTGCTTTTTAACAAATTAGTGTACACAATAATTCTTCAATGTTTGACTAGTTAATTTTTTTCTCTGGCTGTGATGAGGCTCTTGGAAAGAGAATTTGGAGTTTTACATCTTCCTCAGCCAAAGAACTAATACTAGGAATCTGCTGATGTTTAGGAAAAGGCTGTAGGAATTGCTGTTTTGATGCTTGCTGGTTTGTAGAACTGCCAGGATTTCGGCATTGCATGGCAGAATCGAAAAATATGAATAATCAAAGTTACATAAATAACCAATAAATAACCAAAGTTCAAATACTGGTCAAACAAATGTGAAACTAAATCCCGTCCCACAAGACCTTGCTGACAGATAAGAAGGGCTTCAAACATGTTGGCTCGATCTACTTCTGTTGAAAAAGCTGAGCTGTGAAAGGGAGGTTGGGGGCTGGAGCAGAAGGGGAAGGATTCAAAAAATGGTGAAGAGGAACAATGCTACAAACACAAACTCTGCCTGGGATGTTTAATACAACCTCTGGAAAGGGGGTGTTGTGAAAAAGCATCCAGAAAGCTTGCTCAGGTCCCAGCCACCCCTTGTCCTTGCTCTGTGGCCCACGATGAGCGGCTGGGTTTGGCTGTGGTGCTGCTGCAGGGTTTGACCCCAGCTCTTCCCAGGCACGTACCCAGCTGCCTTTGTGCTTCAGCTGTGGGATCTCGCCTTCCTCCCAGGGTGTTTTGGAAATGCAGAGCCACGGCCCCCGCAGGGGTAGGCTCTCCCTCCGTCTGCGCGGGCACAACGTCAGCTTTGGCACCAGGAGCTGAGGACATGCTGGCACGAAGATGTGAGCAGCCATCTGGAGATCTCGTCCATTCCTACCATTGCCCCTCTTCCGTGGTCTGCCAGATCATGAGTTGCTCCTGCGTTTGCGATTGGATCCTTGGATGGTCCCACGGGTCGCTTTGCTGGATTGCTGGTCCCACGGATGTGCAGAGCCCACATGCAACAGGATGTCACCTGTCCCCACACAGTGCCAGTGAGGTTGGTGAGCCCATCCCCTAGTGCCAGGGCAGGATATCTCTGCCTGACCTAGTGTTGCAACTCCTTCCAGCTACTGGAGTAGACCAGGGAGGCCAGTGCTGTTGCCTGTGCCCATCTGCCACCACAAAGATGAGAACTAAGTTGACACTAAGAGGGTCCAACCAGCAATGTGGCTGGAGAAGGAGAAATCTAGGCTGGAGCCAGGCAATGTTCCCCTTCACCTACCTTCAGCTTTTCTTCTAAGAGCAGGAGTTAGCAGGAGAGGTCAGAGCAAGGTTCATGCGAGTGGGGAGCCCCCAGACTTTTTCCACGTGTAGCATGTCCTTTGAATGTCTTTTCCCCAAAATCCCAGTTCTCCTGAGCAGATCTACAGCAGGAAGGCATGTCCTCTGAGGAGTGGCTGAGCACTCTGGGTTTGTCTCATTTGGAGAAAAGGAGGCTGAGGGGGGACCTCACTGCTCTCTGCAGCTTCCTGAGGAGCAGACACAGAAAGTCCCTTCTCCCTGGGATCCAGGGACAGGACCCCTGGGAATGGCCCAAGCTGTGCCAGGGGAGGTTCAGACTGGACGTTAGGAAGCATTTCTTTAACAAGAGAGTATTAAAACAATGGAACGGCCTTCCTAGCCCCGAGCCTGTCACGTGTTTGAGGCATTCGGACAATGTCCTTAATGATGAGCTTTAGCTTTCGTTCAGCTCTGAAATGGTCAGGCAGTCAGACTAGGCGATCATTGTAGGGCCCTTCCTACTGAACCAGTCTAGTCTAGTCTGTTCTAGGTGAGGAAAAGGAGACCTTGATGGAGGGAGATCAGATAACAGCAGATCTGTGGACTTCAGACACTTCTCCATTTCTATGTGACTTCCTTGGCTGTCCCTACAGCTTTTACTAGTGCCCTGCTGTCAGAAGTGTGCTTAATGCACATGTCAGTGGGGACTGGAAATAAGGCGAGCAGAGACTTTGGGTGCATGGAGAAGATAAGTGTTATCACAAGCTCCAGCATCCAGCTATGTTTGGGTTTGGGGTTTTTTTGACTTAATCATGAAGCACATTAAGCACTACTCCAGCACCTTGTAGAGTTTGAACCTGCTGTATTTTTCATAGAATCATTTTGGTTGGAAAAGACACTTAAGATCATCAAGTCC